AAGCACTGAGACAGCTTTAGTGAAAGTACAGAACGATATCCTTTGTGCAATTGATGGTAACAAGTGTGTTGTGCTCCTTCTGTTGGACATGTCCAGTGCATTTGACACCGTTGAACACAGACTTTTCTTGGATAGACTGTGCAATCGGCTTGGTTCTAGAGGACAGGTCTTGGAATGGTTTGAATCCTACCTTCACAACAGAAAACAGTACGTGATGATTGATGGTGTAAAATCACATGTCAAAGACCTTCAGTTTGGTGTTTCACAGGGATCGGTCTTTAGACCTATCCTGTACTCGTTGAACAGGAACCCATACGTAATCCATGATGATATTTCAAAATGTAAAAATTGTATAAAGACTTTCTTATTCAAAGAAAATTTTGATTACAGTTCTGTTAGAAATATTGCAAAAAGAATTTCAATTTTTAATTTTAATTTCAATCTTAATTTTTAGATAAGAATTTTTAACTTGTACTTTTAAATATTTGTGTTTTATTATTGACGTATTTTTTTAATCTATAAAATTTTCGGTCTTGAATATTTAGTTGTAAAGAGCCATGAGCATGCGGATATGACGCTATAGAAATCCTTATTATTCTTCTTCTTATTATTATTATTATTATTATTATTAGTAGTAGTAGTAGTAGTAGTAGTAGTAGTAGTAGTAGTAGTAGTAGTAGTAGTAGTAACAGTAGTAGTAGTAGTATTTACAACCAAGCTTCATTTGTTACTTGTGTTTGTCAGCTACTTAATTGTGAGAATGGTCCGCTGTTTGTAAAGTATATTACTTACAGAATATAAACGAAAATGAAGAAGATCTTCGGTCCTTTCGAAAGTTGTGATAAAAAAGGAAAGATTCACTACAAATCACGCCTCTTTTCCTCAGGGTTTTCACAAGGAATTCAGTGAGCACGACGTACTCCACATAGCCTGCGTTGCTGGCGGTCTGCGCCGATTTTGGGGGCGGAGAGAAAAATGCGTGGACCCGAAGATCTGAGGTTCGATAACTCATGGGGACACGATTGTGATAAGACGAAAAATATCTTTATTTCTTTACCGAGCTAAAACTTTCCATCTTTCTTGTTCTAAGTACAAAGTTTGTATTGTTCGCTTTGCTTTATGTACCGTTACAAACAAACTAAGCTCAGCTGTTGGCAAGATGAAAGGTTGTCATTGCTGTTAATTTTAGTGGGAAACCAACGAAGAAGATTTAAAACACATTTTTTACATTTTAAAAGAAAATAATGCTAACACAAAGAACATGAAACCTTTTTACATCCAAGAAAACAGCAGATCTTTTTTTGTGTGGTTGTCACGCTCCAACAGTGGGCTTACGTCAACAAGAAAGGAAGTCATTTATAAGAATTGATAATGAGATATTAGGTTTGACCGGGATAGAGAGAAATAATTATTGTCAACAAGCAACGGTAATGCACACCGGTTACAACTTATAATCACATTACCCTTGTTTCCCTTAATACCTCTTAACAAGATCCTGTTGCTTTCCATTGCTTTTCTTTACGTCCATGTTTGTAGCCGTGTTTTTCTCTTTTACCGTATGGATCTTTGAGGACGGCTGAAAAGATTAGGCAAAATATTAGGATGATTTTTTTTATTAGAGCGATATCATATGAGTTAACGAACTTTGGTCTTAGATAGGGATTTAATTGTAAACGTGATCGTAGTAAATTTATTTTGCTGAATTAAGCACTGGAATGGGATGCTGGTGTCATTTTAAAACTGGTACGTTTTAAGTTTTTTCTTTTCCTTATCAACGCGACATAAGTCACACTTTCCAGTAAAAATGATTCAAGAAGTCAAATCTAATGCACAAATGAGCAAGTGGAGTACGCAAGCCTGTCAATCTAACAGTGACAGTTACAACCCTGTGCACGCTCTTGTTTTACTTGCCTGGTTTTTCAGCTGACCTTGATCAAGATTTTTTTTCTCAGTTTGAGAGTCAAAATGAGAGAAAGAACAGGAAAAGCACTAGCTAGATCGATTACGAGCTACAGGAATATTTGGAAAGTGATTGGTAATTATAAAAACACTCATCGAAATTACGTGGATTAGTAGTGTAAGTGCCCCTAAGGCACGGGTTTATCCCTTGTTTTGATTTAGTAATCGTTTAATTAATAATCTGTAAAAGTCACACTAGGTGCCTCGTCACGCGTTCCGCAAGTGGTATCGCATTTCCAAACAGAACGGATCTATTGTGCAATTCAATAATTCGATCGATTTCGCAAGCACTCGTGGTTTAATAGAAAGAAATTGTCTGTCGTTTTTATCGAAGGAAGGAAAGGTCCTTTTTGTGTCAACTCTCGCCAGATCCGGCAACAATGTAAGTTTAATTTACCTCGAGTGTTTCTATAGCTAATTTCTTGTCCCTAATTTTGTGAATCAATTATTTTTAGCTTCACGGTCAAATACGACATTTAATAAAGGAGGCGTTTAACAGAAAGAAATTGGGGTGATATTTGTTGTGTCGATCAGTGAGATTCGTACGGTCCAGCTAGCGGCGATCAAGCGTCGCTATAAGTAGTTATAAAAACACTCAGTGAAATAGGAAATATTACATACTTGTCGACTTAGAGGGAGGGCCGAGGTAGAGAAGAACGTCATGACTGACAGCCAAATAAGTTTCCCGTCTGGCCCGACTTAATAACCGGTAGAAGGATTGTAGTCATTGACTGTATTCGGTGGATCATTTGGTTTCGTAGCTTCATCTGCAGATTTTGTCCACATGCCTGTCAGTCAGTCGATGTTATCCTGCGCACACAATATGGTGAAGAGAAATTGTTGAGACCCACTTTAGGCATTTTTATTTTACCAGTTATTATCCTATACTAAAATCTACCACGATATGACTGAGTAACTGACTGAGTAACGTGACTGACTGAGTAACGTGACTGAGTAAAAATACTAACGGAAAGCGAAGCAATAAAATCGAACGAATCAACTGACTTTCACATTATTTTTTCTTTAGGCTTGACTTTTACAGCAACGATCTTTAATGCTGACCAGATTATGTTTTGGTCATAAAGAACACTTTTGTGATTTTTTAAAAGTTTTTTTCGTCTTCCGCAAATGGCTCACGCCTAACGCGATCGATACGAAGCTCAAGTGAGGCCAGTTTGACATGCGTCAAAGTTTGCGCCTCTTTTCTATTACCAGATTTTAACTCCTCATTTCCTGAGTTGAAAAAATCAAAACATTTTAAATCCTCATGAGTTTATCATACCTCAAAAAAGAAAAAAAATTATTTTTGCATATGTAGCAAATGTGTTTTGGTTTAAACGAGTGTTAATATATGAATATCGTTTTTGATCTGCGGATTAATAAATAAAGATGAGAGTAACCTTCGCAGTAATGAACACTGCTCAACTCCCAGAAGTGATTCACATGTAACTTCTCCCTTTTAACATCCATGAGCCATCAATCAAAAGGTAATAAGAATGCCCAGACATGTCAGGTAAAAGTTGTTTTTCCTGATCTAACACCAAATTCATGTAACTAAATTACAAGGAAATGAAAAAGCAGCTACCGGGCAGAATTAACAATCAGATCTTAGGAGTGAAAATAAAAAGCCTGAAAAATATCTCATAGGTCATGGGTTCAACTCTCTTATAAACCATAATATTTTTTCAGACTTAATTTTCAATGCCGCTTAAGTAGTTTGTGTTCAAACTTAGCTGATTCAAATCAATAAAATGTATTAATGTAATGCCTAAATCCGAAAAAAGCGGACAATGCCCCTCAAAGATCGCTATTGCGTCGAAGAAATCTCTCCTTAATGTGCTAGAATTTGAAAAGTCACCTGAAAGACGCGTTTATAAAATGGTTCGACTTGGCCTGCAATGCATGCCGATGCTATGTCCTCCTTTGTGGTGTTCATAGCGACGATGATCACCCTCATTTTCGTGTAGGGTTTAACCAGGTAGAGTTACTACCGATAATTTAAACTTAACCCTTTAACTCCCATGAGTGACCACAACAGAATTTCTCCTTACAATATCAGTACAATATCAAGCAGACAAGTGATGAGAAAAAAGAATAATATAAATTGGGGGATTATAAGTTGATCCAATATCAAATTCTCTAAACTAACATAACAAGAACTGTGTAGCAGACAGTAAGGAGAATTGCTGATGAGATCTTGGCAATGAAAGGGTTAACAAAGTGTTGAAAATATGTTGGATGGCATGTTATTGACATAAATTTCTAAAGAATTGGTTTCCTATATATGTATAAGTCCTGACCCATAGTCGTACCAAACCCCCCCTTCCCATCAACATTCCCATCAGCGTCCTTTAAAGATTAGACTCTGCGAGTCTAATCTAAGTCACTATTTAAAGTTCTTCAAGTTTGCAGTCACCTATTGCCTTTTCTACAAAACAGCAAGAGTGGTCACACAATTTGCAATTTTTTTAATTAAACAGACACTTTTTTTTGCACATATAGCAAATGTATTTTGGAGAATTTGAAAGGTCACGGGAAAGACGCGTTCAGTATGCTCTTCATCAGTGCATGGCAAACCCCAGAAGCAATTCGAGAACCATCCATCAATTTACGGAACACACTGTTTCAATCATCAGTGCAAATTCAATTGTTGTTTAGTGCGGGCTTTAACAAAATAGAATCTATAATTCATGGACAATTACATGAGATCGCCTCGTACTTTATTGTTTTCCTCAAGAACAGCTCAAGGAATGTGTGACATATACGAATGATTGAGGGGAGTATTTCAAGTGACGTAACAAGAAGTTTCTTGGTGCACTGATCTGATATTTGATCCGCTATTTGATTTGCTATCATCTTCATTGGCTGCGTTGCTGATTAAAGGTTATTCACGCGGTCTCGTGGAAGCTGAGGAATGTGTTGTCGTGATACATATCAGACGGATAGTTCACGTTGGTGAGATTAGTTCGTTTCTCTGTTTGAAAGAACGTTTTAGAGGAAAGTTGGGGAGAATAAGGAAGGCAAAGAATATCTACCTTAAAGAAGAATCAGCTGAAACCTACGATTCAGACCAGCTCACTTGTTTATCACGGATCAGCTTCAAATGTAGGTATCTTAATAAATTGTAACTCGGACATTCAGAGCGGTACGCTTGTCATCATAATGCCGGTTTTGTTCTGGTGTTTGCAAAGAAATCAGCTACGTTGCCCTTACTTGGGATTAGCTGTCTTTCGAAAATGTGTTTTGTTAAAAGATGAACACCGTCGAGTGCTAGTAGTTGTGACAGAGTGGTCAGTTACTTACTGCTGCAATATCAACCCATGGACCTTTACGTTTTACATGTACCGTCGACCTAGTCAAGTATTACCTTTAGCTTCTTTGTAGCCTTATGTCGGTTTTAATCTTTTAGTTTTATTCTTTAGTCGCGTTTTAACCAATCTATCGCTTCTAGTGCTCAGCGATGGCAGAACTAGTCTTTATTCGCACATATGACAGAGTGACGAGACTTACAAGGAGCCTTCGGTTCCGCATTACCAATGGCTCCAAATTAAGAGACATAAACAAATACAGCTTTTACATGATAGAGAACGAACGATCGCTCCTTATGGACTAGTGTTTATTTTGTAAATAATTCACTCTTCGTCAACCAACAATCAATCTCCTTGGGTTTTTCATGGTGTGGCATTTGTCAGACCGATTTGAAAATTGTATTCGTTGCGAATGGCAGCTTAGATTTGGTATTGTTTACAGTAGATTTAGCTGGGATTCCAACTGATTCTGCCACGTTATTAGTACTTTTAATTTGGTTTTGTGGGGATAACTTGTTTGAAATCATTCTCACTGAAAAACTAATTATGCAGAATTGAGACAGGGTTTGACGTTAAAAGCACCGAAGGGTATTCATGAAAGCATGAAGCGAGATATAATTCGTTGCGCAGTTATCGCTAGCTCGTATTGCACGTTACTATTTATCTTTTTAGTGGAAGTTGTCGTTTAGAAACTTTCCTCTAGAAAAAAGAATAAGAAAAATCTTGAACAAACTTGGTCTTGCTTTGTAAGTGATGAAAGCGTAAAGTGTCTTTTCTGATCTATATGGGGCATGTTAGCGTCTCGGATCCTTCAATTATTGAAAATCAACCTCATGAATTAAGCATTGTTTATACTATTGCTCGGATAATTTGGCAGTGATATATCAGTGAAAACCCTTGTACAGTTGAACCTGGTCGAGTCTGGGTCATGTATATTTCTATACATTCTTTGAGCATCTTATCATTTAAAAGTTTTAAAATTGCTGCACAGGGTTTGTTTGTTAGTTTGTTCGTTTCTGTCAATAAAACTGGTGAACAGGCCGTGACGCTAAGAGACTCAAGTCTCTTCTTAATGAAAAATTTTCAGCTTCTGCTATAATCGAATTTAGAATAAAGGTATTTTCTGAAATTAAAAACAACAATTATTATGTAAACGGTCCCGTTTTGCATGCAGGTAATTGATTTGTATAGCTTAAAAAATATATTGGCTTCGGTGACCTTCATCTATTGTGCAGTTTCCTCCGGGCAGAGAGATATTTCCGTCACAACTGGCTGGGGTATAAATAGTGCGTGGAAAAGTCTAGAAGGGTAAATTAAATTCATATAAAGCCTTAGCTAATCAACCCAAACAAAGGTAAGTTTCTTTTCTTGAATTTATGAAGGCTTTTGATTTTTAACAGAGCTTCAAGGGGTATGGTAAAATAAAATCTAGCAGGAGGTTATTTTCTCTTCATCCTAATGAACAATTGAGACCCTCATCGAAAATCTTTTCCAAAATATCCTTCAAATCCCTCTTTGATCAAATGATTTCTCAATAGGTAAGAGTATCGCCTTCTGCAAGAAGTTTGGCCATAATTCGTTTTGTTTGCCGCTTTTCATGTGTTTATTTACAAAAGGCTGTCTATTAATGGTAAAAGTTGAAAAGCATGTATTTCACGGCAGCCCTAAGCTCTTTATTGTTCCTTTGCAATTGCATATTTTTGTTTTCTTGGCTGTCCTTTCCCTTTCCGTTCTTTCACTTTCCCCGATGAATCAACGAATTGAAAAAACGCAATGTGAAGGTATTTTCTGGTGATCTGTTAAATAAATGATGCATGACAACCTCCCTTATTTCATAGACAATGACTACCGTCCAGTCTAACACAAATGTTACTTGTTTTAATGTGATCATCCTTGTTTCAAACAGTTGTTTAATCATGATGAGAATCAAATTCTATAAAGATACAAACGACTGTTTATCGTACATTTATAATCACGCATTTCATGATTATTTCTCATTCAACTGTCTAGTTGAAGAGGAAACGGGAACCATGCCAACTGATAGGGCAAGTGATACAACTCTTGACAAACCACTGAGCGAAGAGTGTAGAAAGATTCTGAATGGTGTTAAATATTACCTTGTAAAAGATATGGATGCAGAGGAAGTTTTACTAAGAATGGCACATGAGAACGTCTTTAACGCAGCTGAAGAAGACAGAATAAAAGCGAAGCCAACACGATCGGAAAAAAATGGGCAGTTGCTGGAGATTTTACCAACGAAGGGTACAAAAGCCTATGAAATCTTCAAGAAAGTACTCCAGAAGGTTCACCAGCACCTTGCAAACCTAATTTTGGAACGTGGTAAGTGTTATGATGACCACGAAAATCAATTGGCATTAAAAGAAAGCTGTATGATTACATGTCATCCTAATTTTGGAACGATGCCGCACAATACACCGAGATAGAGATGTCAAACCGGTTTCTAAAAGCGAGTGCCCTACACCTGTAAAGCCTTATTTCTCTTTTAATGTGAGGAAATTACCTTGCGATTGCTACATATTGCAGTGAACTCAGTGTGATCATAAATTCATTATGCAAACCATTTTTTTAAACTTTAAACTTTTGTAAGTTTTGCACTTCATTGCGTTCTTTCTTTCATCTCAGAAAACATGGAACTGAGAAGTGATGAAAACTCAAGGCAAGCTGACAGGGCAAGACAGGCAACTGACTCAGGTAAGGTCTTAAAGCTACTTTATTATTTACCCAAAGAGGGGAAGGGGAGGCTGACTTTCTTAGCGAGCCAACTTTGCTGGATCGAACAATTCCCAAAAACGATGCTGTTCTTAACAAGGTTGATGGGTGGTATCGTGGTGAAGGGAAGGCAACTACTTAAAGATTCTGTTTTCTTATCAAGCGGTTGCTGCTCAAAAGATAGTGCAGGAACTTGCTGGCTGCACCATGGAACGAAACTTCATAAAAGTATTTGAACCTTTTACGCTATGGTGTTTATATGAACTGACGAGTAACAGACATTGCAGATCACTTATGTAATAAGCTTCGTCTTTATAATTCGCAGCTGAAAACGAACTTAGAAAGGAAGTCGTTACTCTTCAACGATGCTTGTCAATACTGGAAGAAGCGGGAAACTGTTGGAAGGAACTTGGAGCAGAACTTCAAATATCAGAAAGCGAACTTCGCAATATAGAAACAGATCATCAACGCGCTAGAGATAAAGCATCTGCCGTACTTGAAAAATGGAGGGATATGAAAGGGCGTGACGCGACTGTAGGATGCCTTTTGGACGCCTTTGAAAGAAGTGGCCAAAAAAGGATTGCAGATAATTTGTTAGGTATGGAAATCTATTTTTATCGTCCTAGAAAGTGGCATGTTATGATTTATGAGATACAATGTGTAAACAATAGCCTTCATTTCGGTGCGGAAATTACCTGTTGCTGGCATAGCTAGTATGTCACCGAGGTTCGGTTGTAGTGTAATAGTGGCGCAAAAGTTTATTTGATTTTTTTCCTTCTCAGAGTTATGGCGAGCCGAACTGTAGGACAGTCCCTGGCTGTGAGAAAGTAAACAACCAAGTGAAGTGCTTAAAGAATTTGAGGAAAGTAATTCTACTACAAATAAAAAAAACTGCGGGAAGGCAAAGTCGTGTGATGGATATAATTATAGTTAGTTGAATGAATTGAGAACACCCTAGATTGAATGGGCTTGAAAACACTTGCATAGGCTTCCACTAGCTTGAGAGGCAGGGAGCGTTTTAAATATGTCAACCAAATAATTCTGTTGTAATGTGATATAGACAAGTTGGAGAGGAAAATGTAAGTTTACTTTACTAAGTATCGATAAATCAGACTGCAAATAAATGTCTGTATTATAATGTACAGGCATGCTTATACGTTTTCTAGTGAACTGGGTAGTCCTGAAAAGTCTGTTGACGGTTAAAGTGACTGAAGTTAAGACAGCTCACATTCGAAGCTGTGAGTAACTAAAATGAAAACATTTGTTGCCAAAACTGCCTATTGGATTTCTAAGCTTCTTAATAGTGCCACTGGATACGGAAAAAAGTTTGACGCAAGAGTAACGCTGAAGACATGCAATATGAGATATATTATAATATCAGTTATAATTATCGTAAATCTGAATGTCTCTGGCTTAGTTAATGAACGTCGTCGACACTGGAACTTTTGAATCTTGAGAGTTTCCTTTCCATTTCGCTTCAAAGAGAGTACGACAAACGAACAACTTTTCAAAGGCGGATTTATTGTTAAGTATCAGAAGAATAAGTGTGTATTATTCGAGACCAGAATGTTCGACCCCTATCAGTTATTATTAGGCTACATCGAAAGGCTACACAGTCAAGAAAAGATCAAAGCCATCAAACTTTGGACAAACCTAAGTCACTACAGGTGTCAACATATATATATAATTTGTCATAGAGGATATTTCATTCTGCCTTGTACTCTGTGTTCCAATACTTTAAAACAAGGTCCAAAATCGCAAGTGCCATGGCTACTTAAAAAGTGTTTTTTCCAATCGTCATACATGGTACATTTTCGTCACCAGAAAAAATTTAAAATACAAAAAGGCACAGTTTTTAAGACGTTTCTTTGCCTCCAAGATATTCTTACTTCTAAATGATGTCCAGCTGAGTTTAAAAGAGTATAATTAGAATGTTAGGGACGTTTTTTTTGATAAAGTGCTGATTGAACGAAACCCATCGAAAAGACCACAGGGTAGTCGCTTGCTGGCGAAATTCTTGTCACAAACAGTCCAAAATTCTCAATCGCCCCGGCGAACAGCTGGTGGCAATTTCAAACCCTATCTCATATACCACGTCAACCGAGCTTTCGCCTCCTATTTTATCTGCTACTGACAGCCGACGTTTATGAGAAATCTTGCCTAACCTTTCTGACTTTTTCAGTTATTTCTCTCAGCCCCTCTACGTTTCCATTCCCCGCTATGCGCTCTAAAATATTTTGTTCAATGACCCCTTTTAAGGCAGCTACCTCCAGCAGCAGGCTTTTCATCATTTCAAGTGGCTCGTCCCTATTCGTGTTCTCAATTGGCTCGTCCCTTTTCGTGTTCTCAGTTGGCTCGTTCCTATTCGTGTTCTGCTGCCTCCTGGGAAGTTCATCTACATTGTTTATAAAAGTAATATATAAGAAATACAAGTAAACTTTCCTTACTCTATTAAAACTTACTGATAAACCTAGATTAGATTAAGTGTTTTAACACGTTTTAATAAAAAACGTCCCTAGAGTGATCAAAAACAGAGAAAGATACAATAGGCTTGAAAACCCTTAACTCAACAGAATCCCTATTTTGTCTCTGACATACTCTAATGTGAGTTAACCAGCACAGTATACTCTTAAACACAATCTACGATCGGTTTTAGACCATCAAATGATCTAAAAAATTGCAACTCTTTAAATTGACCATATACGACCCATATGCCGAGATTTTAACTGAAAAAAAAACTAGGCAGATCGGGTTGATGATGTGTCGGGCAAATGCTCGAATATCACAGAACATCAATCGGCGATTGACAGTACAGCCTAACCCTAACCCTATGAAGAATCAGCATGTCAATAGTCTATGGAAGACTCGTAATGACTGCATGGTTTTAACCCTTTATACTCTATCATCATTATGCATTTTCTCTGTACTGTTCTCTATATATTTCCTTAGGCGCTAACAAGGAGAAGTTGTTTAACAATCAGGAGCTTCTATCGTTGGTGATCATTTCCTTTATTCTCGTGACCTTAATGTGTAATTCAGGGGTGATATTGTACGGAGAAATTGGACGCTGGTCACTCTCAGGGTTAAAGGGTTGAGGACACTCAGAACTGAAACTCACCTACTCTAGATTGGAGTCTCGTCACGACTTGATTCATCTCTCTAACTTTTCTGATAATTTCACTTAACTCATCCAATTGCTTTTGTTGACTTCTTGTTTCATCTCCACTTCCATTTTGTTTTATGTCTCGTGTTCTCGATGCAGTACTGGGCATCGTCTCAGGGGAACCTCCTCTCTCGCTGGCTTGGCGTTGCGTGGTCTCGCCCTCTTTGTCGCATAATACCCAGAAAAAAAGCCAAATATAACGCTAGTAATTACCACTTTATAGTAAAAATAATGCATCATCAAGCAAGATCACCTATCGTTAGCAAAAAAGCTGTGCGCTTGAGAATCAACACATTTCAGTATTATTTATCTCTACGGGACAATAAGAGCTCATATTTTAGTGAAGGTTTCTCAAGATTACCCATGGAGTGGCGGGATCTTGACTGCTCTCTGTTTTCGACTCAGCCGTTAGTGAAAACCATGTTGTACAATATTTTTTTGTGTGTATGTTCAAAATTTAATATAGACAAGACTGAAAAATTTAAGTCCGCTCTGAAGCTCTGGTGGATAGATATCAATTTTCCAGCTTGATAAAATGATTTAAATGTATAGATGCGCAGAATTAGTCGCTCACTGGGATTCTCGGTTAAGCTGAGGTTAATATTTCAACCAACAACAAACTGGCATAGACACATGCCTGATCCGGTTTGTAAATCCCAAAAAGAAAAACTGCAGTAGGATTTCAGGATTTAAAACGATCACAACAAAAACTTCCACAAGTCTGATACTGAGCCTCTGAAAGGATGGTCACCAAAGACAGGGTACTGAACATGAGATGAAGTGTACCTCAAACAAATCAGAAAAGGTCATCCCAATACTTCTCTGTGTTCTAGAAAACTAAAAGAGGATTTGAAAATTGGCTGTTTGGGGATGCCTTACAACTGGAAACTTTCGATGAGCTCAGCCAATATGATATGAAAAGCGCGAGATACATAAGATAGTGCATGCATCATTATTTATACACTCGCTAATTCTTCACAGACCGCTAAGTTATTAAGGAGAATCTGTGTAAATATTGATCGTACCTTCCTCCGTACTTCTATTCGTTTCATGATGTTTGCTTTCTCCTCGTTTTTCTTCTCGTACAATTTCTATTCAAGAAACGAGGAAATTCAATGATCAGAAAAATTTAGATCGTATGAATGAGTAATACAAATGCAGATTTCAGGTTGTAAAAGCAACTAAAAACACTGTGACCACGTTTAACTGTACCACAGAAAATTTCAAAAACTCATTGGGAGAATTCTGTGGACTTCAAGCGAAATGGACGATTTCCATAAAAAGTACAGATTTAAGTACCTAGCAATTTTTCTGCGATCCTTTTCTTGCCTCTCGCAGTAAGGACAGACTCAAGACGTCCCACAGTTGCCTTGCACCCATCCTTATCCCTCCATGACTGGAGAAGAGCAAATCCCTTATCGCGAGCTTTATGGTAATCATTGCCTATGTTGCGAATTTCGCTCTCAGGAACTTCAAGAAATGGTCCAAGGTCTGACCAGCAGTTTCCTATGTCTTCTTTAAAAAGGGTTGCTAACCTTTGAGTAACAACTGACTTTCTCAACTCTCCGATTTGGGCTGATAGTAATAATAATAAAAAGGAAAACAGAACCAGGCTATAACTACAAGAGGAAAAACATTTTTAACAAATACCGGGGAAAGATTCAAGTACAGTTATAATCAACTTTGACATCAGGACTTCAGAGAGAAGAGCAATGGTTTGCTATTTTAAAGTAAATTAATGTCTTATACCCTGCAACAACCATGCCTAGTTTGCTCGAGAACTTTACAATGCAGAATGCAAAATGAGCAATCAAACCATCTTGGGAGAAAATCATAAGCAGGATGATAATGAATAAACTTATTCAGTAGTTGACAGACTACTGCGATGATTTAAACTAATTAAAATCCTTTTTAAGGTGAGGGCTGGAAAAAAGGAAAATTTAATGAGAAGTCCAGAGGAGACTTTATACAATTAAAAATAGGGGCATAGATAGTCAGACTGCACCGGATGAAGTCGCTCGTTATTTAAAGGTCTCTTGGCGATGAGGGCTTTCCCTTACTCTTAATTATACATGAGGAAAACGAGATTTCTAACGGGCATTTTAAACCAAACAATAGTACTTACTCTCGCCAAGTTGTCAAAGAATAAAGAGAAGGAGCAGCCAACACATCCACCTTACCTTGCCAAGTGTGATTTTATCCGAAAAGGTCTACCCAGAATTACCACATGAAAATTCTATAAAGGTATCACAACCTCTCTTCCAGCATTCTTCCTTCCACGTTCCTTACTACTATTTTAACATTCATACAGCTCTCACCCGAGTCATCCACAGGCGACTCCACAGAAGTTGAAGCTTCACCAAGCAGAGGTTTATCCTCTAACTGAGGCATTTCCCTGGAAATTACTGGAGTGTGGTCCTGTTACCAGGAAAAGAAATCCATACATCATAAAGGCATAGTATTTTAGAAATGAATGTATAAAAATAAGGCAACATGGTTGACTTATTGCAAAACTCTATCAACAGTTCGAAAAAAAGTCCTGAAAATAGCACATAATGTTAAAGCTACAAGAGCACTTTCATCGTGGTAAATGACCCCTTTACACGGAAAACTGAATGTAAAAGATGTGGCCGACATTTCCTTAGGTAAATTTCCCGTGAAGGTAAATTTGCAAGGATACGTCAACAATTTAGGATCAAACGAAGCGCCCATCCAACGCCTTTATGAGGGTTACATTTGTCATCTCCAAGATTCTAATATCTGAGCTTAAAAATCTTTCTTGACCTCCGGGCGAATTTTGTTTGCCCATTTAGTGAAAATTTTCATTTGATAGAAAATATGCCTTACTGATAAAAGGTGCTCTACTTTTTTAGGACGAAGGGGGTAAGTTCCTAAAGAAACTGTGGTGATGCGTCGGTGGGAGAGTATAAAATGGTAATTAAGTATTATCAACTGAGTTAATAACGTAAATTGGCCACCGTAAAGAGTTTCAAAGCAGATGTTTCGAGCATTAACCATTCGTCACAGCGATTAACGAGGGGCTAACGCTCGAAACGTTAGCTTTTAAACTCTTCAGGGTGGCCAATTTACGTTATCAACTCAGTTGATAAAACTTAATTACCATTTTATAGGATAGTACTTTTCTCACATGGCCATCGTCGAAAACATTCGTAAGAACCCTTAAAGCTCTTTTTAAGTTTTTCATTTCTTGTGTTTCAGTGTTCAAGGTGCTGTATTCGATTTCTCTTTCACTTTCTTTCTTGACATATTGTGAAAATCCTTCTAATTATTATTCCCCCATTGCTTTGGGTCGAAAGCCGCTAGGATCTACAAAACGTTCAAAACTACTCATGGTACTCTCAAGATTTCTCTTACCAAATCACTTAAAAAAGAATCAATGCCGCGAAGCATTGTCGACTTTAGATGGAGAGAAGAAATTATGAAAAATATATGTAACTGAAAAGAAAGATACTGTTTAATTAAGGGTATCGGTGTAATAATGGGCATAGCATCTTGTCCCAGAAATCATTTGTTCTTCCGTAAGGTCCTTGTCATACCTTAAACGGCTCCACTGGATGAAGCTGCAGAGAGCAAAGTCTCTCTCGTCCTTCCTTGTCTTTTTTGTTTTTGAATAATTCTATAGTCGGTGCATCGAAACGAACCGAAAAACAAAATTTAAAATCGAAGTCTCCTGTAAACCTGTGAGAGAAAAGAGCAACATTGAACTTACGACACACATTTTTCAAATGGCACTAATAATGTTACATATTCAAGAAGGCATGCGACACCATTTTTTGACGAACTGCAGAGGTTTCCCGATGAAGACGTTTTCAATTAGAAGCCAAAGAAGATGCGAATACTTTCTTTATAGTTAGCAAATGTAGACCATAATGCTTTATGCTGAAACAAAATTCCGCCGGAAAATTTTGAAATTGCGTATATCGTCGTCATTCACGAGAGATTACAACTTTATCATGATGATCAAGCAACTCACCGCAATTATTCAGTGAGGCAGATTTTCCGGATACCTTACAACTGCAAAGAGCTTTTTATAGTTCGTCTAAACATACGGGCCTTGCTGTAAAAAATGCTTCGCGTTGGATTTTCATTTAGCCACGGCCTTAAGGCCCATGTGAAAATTTTGTCATGTGGCGGACGAAAGTTACATTGTTCTTAACTAAATAAAAATTCCTTCAAATTCAGCCTATAGGCCTGTTTAATAATGCTATAATTCACCAACGCTTAGACTGTCCACAGTCTAAGGGCCTGTTTACATGGAGGTGGGGGACCCCAGGTAGGTGAGGTAACCCGCTTAGGCGGGTTGCCCGGTCTGCTAGGTAGGGTAACCCTGTCAGCCGGGGTGACAATTTGCCATGTAAACGTGTCAAGGTGGGGTAACCCGCCTAGCCGGGGTCGCTTTCATGGCAAAAAGCTCAAAAGCGAAACATGTATGTTTTAAAACTTTGTACATTTCCTAGCCGTGTCATGGCAGAAGTCACCAGAAACTGCAACGGACACACAAGGAGTGTAAAATATTCACATTTCGGAATATTTAGCGTTGTAAATCGACCATATTTGGTTTCCCAAACTATCCCGTATAGCGTATTAAGTCAACGGTTCCTTGCGAAACAAAACACCGCGTAACACAACGCATGACGCTTTCATGAAAAAATACAGAAGTGTCCCAGAATTAATCTTTCGTGTTTTTCGAGATGTGAGTTTGGGACGCCTCTGCTCAAACTCCTTAATTGCAAGCGCAACAACAGCCTCAAGAAACCTCACCCCAGCACCCCGGGGTTGTAAGATTGCATGTAAACGCGTTTTATTTTTCGACCACGGCTAGGCAGGTTACCTCACCTACCTGGGGTTCCCCACCTCCATGTAAACAGGCCCTTAGAAAAAAAATTAATAATTCTTCAGAAAAGCATTCCACTGTGAATTCAGTGGTAATAATCAACACATTCTCAATGTGATCTGAATCGAAGTTGGATCAGTGATCAAAAAGCATTTAAATTCAAAAATTGATCTCTTTCTGAGACTTACACAACGGGGGTGTAATTTATATCAATTCCTTCATCAACTGGAGTGAGTCCATTTGACAGAGAAAAGAGTGCCTGGTCCCCTTTGGCGAGTTGTCTTGCTGACGTGGCTTCGCCATAGAGGAGAACACCATCCTCTGAAGATATCTCTTTTGTCAACTCGGTTTTCATGTGGAGTGGAAAACAGTGAAGAGTCAGTAATCCTCGCTTTGGATCTTGTCTTGGTTCCTTTTCATTCTCAGGACACCAGAAAGCGAAAAATCCTACATGTTGCGGACAGGAAGAATCCACGATAAAAAGCTCTTCAGGTTTCAGATGTTTCGTAGAGGAATTAAGCATCACACCGCATCTAGCAATAATATAAAGGCACAAGGAATTTGATATTAGAAGACATTTTGGAAAACTTAGGAGATGATATGGAGGTAGCTGACTCAATTTTTTGTGTATCTGAATATGAAAAAGTTGCAAGTTAGAAAAATGCATGTGCATGCCATAGCAACGTATTTTCATTTCATTTTTTGATACTCCTGCAATATATGTAGTTCTCAGTTTGCAGATAACTCATATATGAAGGAAAAAAACAAGATTGCAAACTTACTCCAAAAAGCGATTGATTTGAAACGTATCAGCCCCATCGACCTCAAATGTCACAGTCCCTTCTTCCAATTTTGGTGGCGTTTTCAACCTCTTTGTCCAATCGACCCATTTCCGTGACGTGTCTTTACCGCCACGGAAAAACACTCTCACGTGCCTTGATGACATTCCCGATAACTTAATCTGGTGTTCTTGCGAGTCGATGGGTACACTTATTAAGATGGGACAGGTCAAACTAACTTGCAAAGGATCCCTTGACTCAACTTTCGGTGTGAAAGCAATGTGAACGACAGGACCAACAAGAACCCTATTTCCTTCGAAACCATCACTTGAAAGCCCTTGCACCTACGAGAAATCAAAATAGGTTCAATGAACAAATCTCAAACAGTAGTATATTACGGAAAAATTAAATAGTTGAACTATTACAATATCTCATATCGGAAATCGCCTGGATCTGACACCGCCCTCGTCAAGTACACGGAGCAGTGGAAAAAAGAGTTAGAGAATCACAACACTATCGGCCTTATATCGATGGACCTACCAAAGACGTTTGACACTCTGCCAAATGACTAAATGGTGGAAAAGTTCAGGTCTTACGGCGCTGACGATAACAGCTCCGAGCTCATCAAGGGTTACCTCACAAATTGAAGTCAACGAGCTAGATTAAGAGATCAGTTCTCAAACTGGAAAGGAATTTCATTACGATCTCCACAAGGAAGCATCCTGGGTCCTTTGATATACAACATATTCATGAACGATCTCGTCCATGTCATCAAACACAGCAGTTTGTCTGCCTATGCAGACAACACCCGGATAATATATGCCGACAAAGCGCCCGCGAAAATTGAAGAAACCATCAACAATGACGCCGCTCGTCTAGACATATGGCTCGAGGAAAATGGTAAGAGAAGAAGCCCAGCAAAGTACCAAGAAATCGGCATGGGAAAGACGTAAATTACGCCTCAGTTTCATTGTGAAAACACAGAAATCCCCATAACCGAAGATTTTGAGATGCCTGGAGTAACGATAGACGACAAACTAAATTGAAAAGCATGTAGGCAAGGTTTGCAGCGAAGTCTCTGAGCAAATTGTTGTGCTCAAGCGTATGAAAAAAGATGCTCCATTTTTAAACAAGAAAGAACATCTATTTTGCATCCGTCCTTCCCAATTTCAACTATTGCTTTGGAATCTGGCGCTTCTGCAGTAAAAGTGCTAGAGCAAAACTGGAAAAAAAAGTAAACGAACGTGCACTGCGATTTTTTTAAATGAAAAACAAACGCACTACCAGGAACTACTCAATAAGATAGGCTTATTGTCATTGAATAATCAAAGACTCGCAGAAATTGTTTGTATGGTTTTTAGAGCTGTTAGTTATGATCATACTCCTAAAAGCACAAAAAACTTACTTGGTTTTAGAAACACTAAATACGATCTGAGGGAACCGACATTCGAAAAACTGCCTAAGGTCAATACCACAACCTACGGTCTGAAATCGTGGCGTTACCGAGCGCCATAGTTGTGGAATCTGCCACTAGAGTCACATAGAACTGTTAGAACTACTAAGACCTTCAAAGACAGTATAAAGAAAATTCAGTCTTTGGGCCTTTTGCCTAACATTTTAGTAGATATGACTATCGTTTTTACCTCTTTGCATAAAGTGGAATTGCTATAGATTGTATTTTATTGTCCTGACTCAAACCTTTTTAAAATGTTAAAATTTTTATTCATCTGTCATATTATTTGTTTTTTTAACTTAACTTTAATTCTAATTTATGTGGAAGACCTGTAAATTAGCTGGTCTGTCATTTCATCATGTCAAGTTACACCTGAATAATGACTGAAAAAGCAGACGAAATAATTGATCTACTTTCAGGATTCTTTTGTCTGAAGGGATGTAAGTTCAAAATGATTCTAAGATGCATAGCTCATCTAATTAAGATTTTACATCTTTTTTTTTTGGGGGGGGGGAGAGAAGTAAACAAATACACACTGCGAGGGTACCCTTGCAGGGAGCCTTAAGTATCATTATTCTTGTCCTTATAGTGATTGCTACTGCGGGGGTTTCAATAAAATTCAATTACAGGCGGTCTACCGCCACCTGTAGGACCTCTTACTGCCGTTACTACCTGTTTCAACATTACTGCCGGATCTTCTTACATTCGACTGATCGAACATAACGCAAGCAATTACAACTTTTTAAAGCTTAAAAGCTATATCCTGCATGTTTCCTTTGTAACAAAGATTAAAAAACAAACATTTTTGGTTAAAAAACCTTGCCTCGTCGTTTCAACCGGCCATTTTCCCCTTTCACTTTTACATTTAGCTTTTTCGGAGTCATGTTTCCGAGACGTTTTTTCTTCTTTATAATAAAATTTAAGGAAAATTGTTCAGACTTATTTAAAACACATTTGGATGATTAATCAAGATATTTATTTTATTTATTCCTTTTGTATTTTTTTTTAAATTCTTTTTATCATTTACCTTCCCTTTTGACGAGTAGTAAGCATTTTTTTATCTATTATGCTAGCAGCTGCCAGAGTCATAATCACGTCAAGATGATTAACATGAAATGAATTTTTTAAACTTCAAAAGTGTATAGATTAACGTGTAAAAGCACGAACAATAAAATTTTAATACAGAAAAGATGTCAAGAAGAGAATGTTTCAGTTGTATGAATTGCTTTTACCTTAATGATGAGGTCCATACTTGCAGGAAACGAGGTCCTAGGACTTGACAAACAAAAACCCGGGAAATCTGATATACTGATTGTTACTTCTGGACGTTCCCCTGAATCCTCTTTTCGAAGTTTGTAGTTCTTCAGACGACAAACAACGGCATACCGGGAAAAACGGGTTATTTTAGCCTTAACAAAGGGCAATTTAGTTTGCCAGTCTGAACATTCACCTTGTAGATCTGAAAAATTTTAAGAAAAATACATTGTCTATGTACAAGAAATTAAATAGGCCTGCTACCTCAGTTTGGTTCAGATGAGTGAATATTGCGCAGTCCTTTGTTTTCAGTGTAAACTATGCGAGTTACTCTAAAACTAAAATTCATGAGCCACAGAAAATAAAACAAATATTGCCTTGTGTTGGTTACAAACCTGATGGTTGCACCTCTGAGGTGCGTAGATCCTTCCAGTGCAGTCCTTTGGAATCGGCCATTTCCTTCAAAACAAGCTCGTAACCTCTCAAACAAATTGCACTATAGCTTAAGGCTACTTCAATGGAACTGAACACTACATCATGTGGATCATCACAGTCGAGTTCTATTACATTGCTCACTAACGATTCATTGTTTTCAAGAAGAGGAGAAACAATCCCAGGCTTCCACAATGAACAAGTGACCAGTCTTGGATCTGGTACTGCTTTAGGAAAAAATTTTACTAAAACGCCCGTTTCTTTTAGGATCCACGTAAAACCTTCCTCTGGTACCAACTCTCTATAAGAAAATATGTTGACCATTAACTACGGTGTTCACTCTTTCTGCTTGAAAGTTGTTCCCGAGGTCGTGGGGGACAAGACAAAGAAAAAGCTACTCGTTAAGGTGAATCCATGCTCACGCCAAGTCAATTTTGAGATAACCCCGCTCTGCTTCTTATCATAGACGGTAATAGACGTTTATCAAATGGCTTTGAGAATTAAAAATGGAATAAATTTATGACCAAAGTAAGGAAAAGCTATTTCATGCAAACAATGACACCAAAATCCTTTTGTGACGCCTTTCTATTTGTGACTTATGCAAGCAAGTGAAGGGTAATGCTTACACGCATATCAGTAAAATCGTAACTCCCGTGTAACCCTTGATTTTTTCACCTGATGTCAGAGCTTAAACTCCTTGATTAGCAAGCCATACGTTCGCAAAAGCATTTATTGACTCGTCTGATGACTAACTTACGAAACTAGGTAATCTCCCCTCGAATACAACATCAAAAACAGCTACAATAAGATGGTTAATAGATCTCTAGTTATATGATTTCGAAAAAATCAAACTTACGAAAAAATTATCCTCTTCTTAATCTTTTCCTGTGGAATGCTTATAGTTTCTGCAAACACTTTAGAAGAAATACACGCAAACTAAGTTTATTTAAGCAAATGCAAACATTATTTTGGGTGTACAGACCTAATACATTGATCAATTCGAAGCTTCAGCATCCCCCCCGCGAGCAATCCCCCGGGCATTTGAACTCTTGAATATTGGCTCGTTCAAATTCCCTTCCCCTCGGGCCAAGGTTCTGTTTAAATGCCCCACCCAATATTGAACTATTCTTAGTGTGATCAACAAATGTTGTAAAATTAAGGGGTCAATTGGCAAAGTCACGTATCAGTTATTAGTGTTGTTGTTGGGTTTTTCGCTTCTAATTATCATTCCAGGATGAGAAATTTGTCTTTTGAAGCCATTTATTCATATCTTCTCTTCAATAATACATCAACATTAGAAAATAACTTTTAAAAATAACATTTTCCTTTCGAAAAACGAAGCGGAAAACGTACGAATTTCTAGCTTTTACGAGCCGTGCGTTGTAGATTCCCCATAATTAAGTTGTTTATTAGAATTTACGACCAAAAACTTGCGTAGCTCCGTGTTGGAAATTACTTCTGAAAATTGAACAGTTGGAGACAAATCTTCTCTTGAACAACACTTTTAGGACATCAACATTTAAAAATAGTATTTTCCATTCGTAAATAAGAGTGCTAACCTTTGCAAACCCTAATTTGAAGTCAGAAAGCTTAGTTTTCTTTGTCCAAAACAATGAACTAAATACTCATTGTTTTATAAACGAGTATTTCATGGCATGTTTCCTTTTCATTTTGAGCTCTAAAAGATCTATCTCAATCGGGATGGAGCGGAAAAACAATCTTGAAGGTTTGAAACCTTGCGGCTAAACTAAACTGGAACTTTCAGCCGAAGTGAAATTGCTCAACTCATATTATGGTGCAAATATAGAGGCTCCTGAGGAATTAGGTAGGACTTGAGCCCGCGATATGTTATAATAGGCAATAAACTTAAACTTCGAGCAATTTCAAAACTATAAAAAAATTAATTGCGAGATTTCGTTGCATCTTGGTTTATCATTAGAGGGGGTGGAGGGAGTGTGTCAAGGAAACAGAGAATTATAAAATATTGAGTATAGGCACCAAGAAAGTGGGTCGGGCGCGAAAGCTTGCACGAATAAGAGTGCGTGCGCATTTATTTGACAAATGAACGTTGCAAAGGACTGAGATTTCAAGGTCTAACGGCCTCCTTCTAGTGTTGAAAGCTAATAAAAAGAGACATCTGCGTTATTTATCTTGATCTCGGACTATCGGATCATCGCTTAGAGAGTCAAAGGACTCTTCAAGAATTGCTCTTTTAAGAGGCTCTGGTAGGGTTTTTTCTGTAGTACGTGTCACATCTATTTGACACTATTTTAGTTAGTTAGGTTGTGTACACAGTTAGACAAGACGGCGTTTAGATACTGGAGACTTAGGACTAGAAAACCGTTCTTAACAAAGGAGAATATAGTTAAGTTCTGCAAAGTGATGTAAATGACTACACCTTTGCCTCCTGACACTTAGCGAAGACCCAATAAGCTAGGTCAATTTTATTCAAGATGGTGGTGAAAGTTCATCGATCTTGGAGTATCTGTTCACTGTGATTTTTCATTGATCAAATCCATTTCTATTCATGTCAAAGACTAATGATTCTTTTTCAGTTATACTATTTCATAAAAAACCTTTTTTGAAGAAGATTGACAAGGAAGAGAATGACAAATCCTTTTCGTTAATAAGCTTTAAAGCGAAACATTAATACTTAAATGTTTTTAAGTTTTTCAATGATAAAATTGTCATGTTAGGGAAACCTCGTCATCGAAGAGACCACGGATACTTGGACTTCTAATGAAAGCTAACATCCCATTAACTGATATCAACTTTATCGACAGAAGCTACCATTTTCAATTGCGAATTTTCCAAATAAATATAACAAATTACCCCCAAAAAATAATAAGTGCAATAGTGCAAACGACTGAGATATGAAAAAAAAATAACATTTCGTGATTTACCTTGATCTTGGACTATACCACCATCGCTAATAGGGTCAGAGGGCTCTCCAAGAACTGATTTCCTAACAGCTTCTGGTAGGGTTCTTTTTGTAGCACCTTTCATATTTATTTGAAAAAGACACTATTTTAGTTGGTTAGGTTGTGTACATAGTTAGATAGGACGGCGTCTAGATACTGGAGACCCGTTCTTAACAATGGATAAAATAGTTCAGTTTTGCAAAGTGATTTAAACGACCACACCTCTACCTTCTAACACTTAGAGAAGACCTAACAAGCTAAGTCCATTTTATTTAAGATGGTAGTAAAAGTTCATCGATCTTGAAGTATTTGATTACAATGATTTTTCATCGATCACGTCATATGTTCATATGTGCAAAGAAACAAATATTCCAAATTAACATAGAGCGCTTGAAAATCCAAATTTTTACCACCATCTTAAATAAAATGGACAAAGCGCAGCCGGAGGGTGAAACTTGCGGCGACCGAGAACATAAACCAGTAAGCGAGTTCCTTTAATGTTGAAGCACTAATAACAGTCCCTCATTCTTATATATAACACACACATGTATTTACAGTGTGGATTTTTTTCCTGAACAAGTATATCGTATATCTTAGGAATCCATCTATTTCAAGTTGTCTTTAACAGTTGATAAGACTTCGTCAACTATACACTAATAGAAATCTCAAGTTCTCCTGTCATCATGTTCGCGAAGCAAACTAAAATGCGTCTCCAAGCAATTGTAATGTACATATTCAAATTCGAACCTTACCTTCATCGCTGTTTGGTGAGGACATTATTTAAAATTCTGGAAATCAGCGAGTTTCTAAAATATTTGATGTTATCTTTGACCGATGCAAAGAGTTCTTCAGTAAGAGAGTCACCAGCCTGTTAAAAATATCACAATATAATGAGACTTAACTGCTCCCCAGGCCAAACACATGGGTAAAATGCACGTATATTTGCATGCATAGAGAAACGGGCAGAGAATTTTAATTTAAAAATCTGTTCCAATTCAGCCTTAGTGCCAATTCTTTCATGGGAAAGTACATTTCCCCGCCTGTAACCAATCAAGCCGAAAGTTGAATCGCAATTAATTTACACCAAATTTACCACGCAGCAAAGGCGAGTCGTAAAGAAACTTAGGAATTTCGTTTGACTGGAAAATTCTTTCTGACTTAACATAAAGTCTCTGAAATATTTGGATAACTGATCGGTCGACACAGCGGCTTTGACTGGTAACATTCGACCGAGGATTTTGAACCAAAAGTAGTAAGTACATGTGACGCATAATCCATAATGTAATCTGGCTACTACATGATCCGTGAAGTGAATCAAAACGTAAGAGAATTGTACTTAAGTCCCTAATCAATTTAATGAAGAAGAATTAAATGTCCGATGTTTTCTCAACTAAAACTGAATGGAAAACAGTTTGACAGAACAAAAATTGCCGCTTAATAATGTGTAAACCAGATTATTTGACCTGAATGACGTGGTAAAAGCAATTCTCTTGTTAAATGTTGATGAGAAATATACATCGCATTTACTACTTATCTTTTGCGCATCACATACACAGTTTCACGCATTCCATGTTCGTTCATAAACATCAGACAGAGCACAAGGTAAAATTCCTTGATCAGTTAGAAAATTGATTCCAACTGATGGCTTGAATTGACAATTGAACGCAAACGATAAAAACAAACAATGCGCCTAAGAGCAATGCGGAAGTGTTACTCTACACTAGATCAGAAACCCGAGACAAACGAATATGGTTATCTTAGTGCGAAGGCATCAACCTCGTATATAAGATATTTCAGTCGGAGTCACCTACGGTACTCAAACAGCGCCACTGAACGGCGCTGATAATGCAGTATTATTACTGACCCTCCTTGTTGTCTATCTGCATTAAATCAACAAACGCTATTACAATTGTTTGAGGAAATCGGGGGCGGTCCTTTTTGTCAATAGGGAAATTATCAGGGGTAATACATACTGAACGCGCTAAATCAAACAAGCTGCAATGTTTTCCATATTGTAACCTGCACACTACAAAAGTCAAAATATTGCAGTTCTCCCGGTTTAACAAGTTCTATGTGTACAGAGCACTATCATTCAGTAATTTTCAACTTAGTCAACAGCACCGTGTCGGTCTAACTCTCGTTAATTGCAACTCAATTTTATGTTTCGAAGTGCCACTTCAATTAAAACTTTCAAGCACTGAGAATAAACGGAATCAAGGGAACGGGTAGAATGGAGCGCTGTATATCGTACTAAAAATCATCCTAGTCGGAAGTTCATTCATATGAAATAACAACTTTAGTGCAAGCGTTTACATTCGATTTCTGCTGAAATATCAGTGTTCGTAGAGCTCTGTGTCATAAATAATGCTTCGTCTTCCGAGGAATCCATCGTCTTTCAAAATTGAGGTTTGCACCGAGTAAAATAACTGAATTCTCTGGGTTATAAAGTATGTAAATTTGCAGTGTCACACGCCTTTCACGTATTTATTTCATTGTTGTACTTGTTTTGAACAACTATAACAATAAACAAGAATAACAACCCTCGGGTAAACGGTGCACGAGCGATTTAGATCGACACGCGTAGGTGTTTCTGTTATGTGCTATCGCATGTCTGTTATCTCGTGCGCGTGGTGATGGCATTCTTGCCGAACGCAATGAGACGGACGCAAATCTTTCACTTCTGCGAATAAAAAATTAAAAAAACACCACAGTTGAACTGTGCCTCATAAAACTCTTCTTCATGAACACAAACTTAAACTTTTCTACTCAGTTAAAATGATTTTCCTTCCAAACTGGTGGCGTTAATCACTGGTCTTATAGTAAAAGTAACATTAGTGGCTTAATTAATACTCAGTATTGATCTAATACAACGCATTGCAGTATAAATCTATAAATCCGTTGAGTACATATTTATTTTTGAAGAACCTGAATCCCTATGACATCTCTACAAAGCAGACATGTGCGCTAAAAAATTTAGCCCGCTTGGAATCCAAATTTCTTTTAAGCGGACTTCATTTTTTTTAATATGAAGATTTTTCATTTTTGTTAAACTGTCCAGGTTTGAAATCGTGTTTAGTTCAATCAATTAGCTGAGAAAGTCGTGGCATAGAGTCTGTTTTGGCTTGCATCATGATACCCAGACCGGAAAACAAGTTTTTAAAGCTGCCTGTATTACGATTGAACCTAGACAGCTCTTAGCAGTACTTGTAAATGGACTTCCATATTGAAGTAGGTTACTGAACACGGAACATAAACAAGGAATGATCGAGGCAGGAGAACCAAATAACATAGATATGATATGAACAGTGACCTTGAACGACTGAAGTGAATTCACAGACGAAATGAGTGAACAACATAAACAACTACCTTCCCAAAGGTAGAACATTCACGAACTTCGCACTTACCTTTAGTGGAAATATCCCAGACGCAAGTCCACACAGCCCCTCGACTTACGTCCTCAAATATACATCAAAGAGAGACTGGAAAAGTGTTAGAGTTGCCGTGGACCTGTGATGGTGTTTCTATTTTACAGTTCAGCGCTCTTGTAAAGGAAAAAAACACCTCACTGAATTCAAAACTTCAGAAGCCAGTAATGGACACCCAAGCCAAGCTGGTAGATGACCTAAACAGTCCTAAGAGCGTTTATCCTGTGACTCCAGCAAGCTGTCACGCATATAATGTAACGCAACGTTTACGTATACTAATCGAAGACAGTGTTCTCTGGATTCTCTGTATCTCGTAAAAGAAGAGATCCAAACTAACCTAACGTTTCGAGCGTTAGCCCTTCGTCATTTTACTCTGAGGAATTTACATCATCAACTCAGTTGATAAAAGCAAATTGTCTTTTTAATAAACCGGCTATTGTCAAATGGCCTTGTCAACGAAAACGTTATACATGAATTTTTTTTTCCTGGTTTATAACCGTAATTCTTGCCTTTCTTAAAATTCGGTTCCCTCTTCTCTCTTGCAGCCTTTTTCTTCGCAAGTAAGAGCTCTTCTTTAGTTTTCCTGACTTCTTCTTTGGTTTCTTCTAGTTTGCAGTCACCTATGGCCTTTTCTACAAAACAGCAATGGTCACACAATTTGCAATTTTTTTAATTAAACAAACACTTTTTTTTGCACATATAGCAAATGTATTTTGGAGAATTTGAAAGGTCACACGAAAGACGCGTTCAGTATGCTCTTCATCAGTGCATGGCAAATCCCAGAAGCAATTCGAGAACCATCCATCAATTTATGAAGCGTAATGTTTCAATCATCAATGCAAATTCAACTGTGTTGTTAAGAGTGGGCTTTAACAAAGTAGAATCAAGAATTTCATGAAGAATTACATGAGGTCGCCTCGTACTTTATTGTTTTCCTCAAGAACAGCTCAAGGAATGTGTGACATATGCGAATGATTAAGAGGAGTATTTCAAGTAACTTAACAAGAAGTCTTTTTGTGGAGTGATCTGCTATTTAATCTGCTATCCTCCTCATTGGCTACGTTGCTGATTAGAGGTTATTCAAGGTCTCGGGGAAATCACGCAGGACGAGACTGCGGAATGTGTTGTAGTGATAAATAACAGACGTACAGCTCACGCTGTTGAGATTAGTTGGTTTCTCTGTTTAAAAGAACGTTTAAGAGGAGTGTTGGGAAAATAAGGAGGGCAAAAAATCTCTACTTAAAGAAGAATCAGCTGAAGCCTACGATTCAGACCAGCTCACTTGTTTATCACGGATCGGCTTCAAATGTAGGTATCTTAACAAATTGTAACTCGGACATTCAGAGCGGTACGCTTGTCATCATAATGCCGGTTTTGTTCGGGTGTTTGCAAAGAAATCAGCTACGTTGCACTTACTTGGGATGAGCTGTCTTTCGAAAATGCGTTTTGTTGAAAGATGAACTCCCTCGAGTGCATATAGTTAGGACAGGGTGGTCAGTTACTGACTGCTGCAATATCGTCCCACGGACCTTTACGTCTTGCATGTACCGTCGACCTAGTCAAGTAATACCTTTAGCTTCTTGGTAACCTCACATCGGTTTTAATCTCTTAGTTTTATTTCCTAGTCACGTTTTAACCAATCTATCGACTGCTGGTGCTCAGCGATGGCGGAACTAGTCTGCGTTGGCACATATGACAGAGTGACGAGACTGACAAGGAGCCTTCGCTTCCGCATTCCCAATGACTCAAAATTAAGAGACGTTAATGTACAATGATTGCTGTCCAGCAACCATGGCAACTGTTAGGGCAAGAGATACAACTCTTGACAAACCATTGAGCGACGCGTGTAGAAAGATTTTGAGAAAAGTAAAACGGGAGCTTGTAAGAGATATGGATGCAGAAGCATTTTTACTATAAATGGCAGCTGAGGATGTCTTTAACGCAACCGAAGAAGAGAGAATAAAAGTGTAGCAAATACAATCGAAAAAAAATGAGCAGTTGCTGGAGATTTTGCAACCAAAGGGTGCAAAAGCCTATGAAATCTTCAAAGAAGCACTCCAAGTCGTTCACCATCACCTTGCAAACATAATTTTGGAACGCGGTAAGTGTTTTGACGACCACGAAAATCAATTAGCATTAAAAGAAAGCCGTATGTCTACAGGTAATTGTCATTTTGGTACGATGCCGCACAATACACCGAGATGCGGACGTCAAACGGGTTTCTAGAAGCGACGTTTTCATTCAGAGTTTGAGGGAGAATGCTAAAAAAAACCCAAACAAAGGAAAACCTGGCTAAAATTCTGGCTTCAAAAAACGATATGAAAGTATAGGCTCTGAATAAAAATTCTCGAG